CTCTCTCTCTCTCTCTCTCTCTCTCTCTCTCTCTCTCTCTCTCTCCCCACTACTGCTCTCCACTCAAGCTTGGATCGCTGACACTCACTTCCTTAATACACTTGCCCAGCTTCTACTTCTTTGCCTTCCTCCTCCAATTTGTGGCTATGGTCGCCATTGTCTTACTCGGCAACCCTAATAGGGCGCCCGATTGCCCGTTGCCTCCTCCTGATGCTCGCCCAAGTCGCCTCGGTCAAAGAGCTTCCACAACATGCGAATTGATGAGCGACCCAACGCAGGACTGTAGCAACTATAAATAGCAGCTGAAGTGAATCGTTGTCGGCTCCAGAGAGGTACCGCGTGACGCAGCCTGTCGGCTGAAGTTTGCCAGTACCTGAGCATACCGGAGTTTCATCGGAAGCTGCTGCAAAAATTGGACTTCGGGACTTCAGACTTTCTTTGTCGGTTACGGACTCGGGGCATGAAGACAGCATGAAATACTAGAAGGGGGGGGGAGGGGGGGGGCGGGGCAGATGGCTTTGACCCTGAGAGGGTGGGAAAGTGAGGCTCTAGGCCTCAACGAGCACAAGAAGGGGCCGCCCGCAGAAAATGTGTGCGGCCCTAAGTGAAGGCAGCAGCAGCAAAAAGTAAAACAGCCCTAAGAAAAGCCTGACATGATACAGTTGGAAGGCGGAAGACTGGAGCCCAGCCTCTCCAACTACTGTCTTCACCTGAATAGAACGCCCCAGTCATTATAGCTGTATTTGGTCAACTCTTCAGTCCAGATTCGGCAATAATGACCGAGCCTTCTTTTCGGGTGAAGACGGTAGCCAGTAGGCCCAGCCTCCGAGTCCGTCGCACAGGCCCGGACCCAGGCCCGGATCGGTTCTCAGTCGCCCAGCCCACGGTGTCGACCGGTAGAATGGATCTGCCGGCACGCGAAAATAGCTCGTTAACCGCCCCGTGTCTGTCACCCACAGGAGAGCTATTTCCCGGCTCCTGCGACCTGCAAACAACCAAGTCTGTACCAGGGAAACAGGTATGCAGACACGTAACGTCCTAACAATCAGACGTTACAGCAGCAATGCCAAAACGTTTATCTTATAATAATCATTTTAACGACCTCAGAGTCTGTCTGAAACGTGGTGAAGCTGTGGTATCTGGAATATGAGTTGTATGTGACAGGCCTAGGGCAATAACTAGGTCAGCTCCTCCAACTCGGTTGGTGCTTTTTGCCCTGATTCTTCAAGACTGGTCCGTAATTGAAATATTCAGGGTCCACCGCTTCCCCTAGTTTCAAGGTCCGATGACTCAATGTGCTGGTAGCTGGTACGAACCCCCGGGTCTTGAAAGTTTAACTGCTCCAAGATCTCTGTCTTGGCCCCACTGTTTTTAAGGGTAGCGGACTTGCTGTTATGAACAGCTGATGCTCTTTATAATTTACTGATTTTCCCGAGAAGGGAAACTGTGTCGATACTGCTACTTCCCGTTTGCCCAATCCGACGTGCGCATTCCCTCATTGTAACCTGCGAACTGCTGGTTGCAGAGCATTCCTGTCTTGTCGTTTCCGTACCCTGCTGACCCCTGCTGTTTTTACTAATGCTGTGTCATGTTCCCTGCCCTGTGTTTGCTGTATCTTATTGATACATAAGCACTTCCCTGAATTTGTACTTGAGTTTGCTGAGTCCTTCCTGAGTCTGGGTGGCAGCTGTTTTTGGAGCACGGATGAACAGACGGTTTTCCCGAGCACAGATCTGAGTCTAACTGGGTCTTGGTTTGCCAGCCCAAGTTCGAGCTCGGTGCCTCTGCTGTCTCTGGTGTGTGATGCCATCCTGTCTGAGTTTGCTGTTGTGTACTTATTCGAACACTCTGAGCATTACCAGCTACTATGTGTTGCTGAAATAAACAATGAAAGTGTGAGATCACTCGAAACAACACTGGTACTGGCATCATAGACAACGGCATTCAACTCCCTCTTCTCAGAGTGAGAAATCGACCCCCCCCCGAATCGCCAAAGCATCCCTGTGGCAGAGTTCAAGATCACAGGGGTACAATTTGGGCACGGTCAAGGAACAAGCAGTCCAGCAATTCATCAAAGAACCAAACACCATCCGGAGCTGGCTGAGAACTCTGGAACAAACAGCGATTCGCACGAGGAAAGGGGCCCAAACAGATAATAAACGAACACTGGAAGATGTGGGGGACAAAGGAAACCAGGAAGGACTCAAGAAGAGGAAGGCGACAGAAGCCGGAGGAAGGGAGGGAGCATCCACTCCCCCTACTGAGATTGAAGAGGAGGGCAAGGCCACAGATGCAAGGGGTACGGATTCTGAGCAGGGTGGGGAGGGGAGCAGCGTAGAAGGTGGAAGTTCTACGACGGGCAGTGAAGAAGGGTCTACACAGTCGCTGCAATGGCTCAGGGAGTATGTGGATAAGGTTAAGAGGGAAAGGGAGCATGCCTTTGACATCCGAGCAGCGTGCCTGAAACACACTGAGAGATCCCAGACAAGTGGCAAAAAAGGGCTGCTTGGGGGGGTGGGGATCTCCAATAACCAGTTTGACGCGTTCAGGAAGGTCAAAGCTGAGGAACCGTCAGAATACACAGTGTTTCGCTATGCTGAAAAGAAAAGGGCAAGGGAGCAGGGGCCGAAGGATAAAGACAGAACTGTTCCTGAGTCCAAAGATGAGTTCCAGGATCTGCGTCCTAGGAAGTGGAAATCAGGAAAGAACCAGAAAAAGAAGAATCCGGATACAATGCAAGCAGATTCCCCCGAGGACTCAGAACACACGCTGCTGGAAAAAGAAGCGGCGGTTGTCCTGGCCCAAACTGACGAGCTAAAAAAGTTGAATGAAGAGTACGCCTCAGAATTCATCACGATCTCACACATTGCCAGGGACCAGGCACCCTTGGTAGTGGAAACAGCCCAATCCTCTCGCCTGACGCTGATGAACATCCGCCCGCTGATCGCAGCTAGGTATATGGAAAAAATAGAGGAATGGCAGATTGCTACAGACGTTTCTTTCCAGATTCCTTGCTTCGAGGAAGGCCAGAATGTGGCAGACATTCTCCGGGAAAAGGTAACGACAGACTACCCTCTGGGATTCTACGACACAGTACCGGGGATGGTGACACAGACAGACTCATAGTCTCCCACAGAGCAAGAGGACACATCGGCCCAACGATCAGAACAAGGGAGACATTCTCCCCAAGCCTTTTCGCCCCTGATAGTCAAGTTGTCGACGACAGCAAGCTTGAAAACAGGGATTAAATGGAGACCCTGGCAAACGGTAACAGCAGTGCCATACAGCGTTCTAGCAGGCCCATGTCTACCGGCGGAATTGACGGCAGTTTCGGCTGCCCAGTTGGTCAAGTCGGGTATCCTGGAGTGGGATGGAGATCTCGATCCCGTGGCATACCCAGCAGACTGGGACAAGTTCTACAGGAGTGAGGGCTCAGATGATGATTTGCAGGGATGGCAATCAGACATGGAAAAAGAAGATGCTCAAGGATCTGAGCTGGACAAATCCAACGAGGAGAGGGAAGGTTTCTCGCAAACTGAATACCAGGGAACGAAGTTGGGCAAGGGTATAGGACGGACCGCAGAGAGGGAAGGATCTGGGGATGATCCCATGGGGGAGGATACGTGGGGGGGAGTACCATCTCAGGCCACCTCTCCTAGAACCACAGTGATGCCGAACCATGGAATACAACCGAAATGGAGGAGATCAAAAGATTGGCGAATGCGAGGGGGGGTTCGGAAGACTGGAGAGACCAAGGGATTGCTATTAGGAGTTGGAACGTTAACGGTTTGGGGAATGTCATAGACAGAGAAGAAAAATGGAATGATATTCTCACCGGGTTGATGTTGAACAACAGATCAGCTGCAGATATTATAATGTTTCAAGAGACGCACCTCTCCTTTTCCCCGAAACACAACCGGATCCGGAAATTCATTGCAAGAAAAATGGGAGGCATAAGAGACGAAATATGGGCAGCAGACATACTCAAATACGAAAGGAACAGCCATCTTAATCCCTAAGTCATCCCGTTTCTACGTGGCAGGAAGCGTTCTGAGAAAGGCACATCTCCAAGAGGGTAGATGGTGCCCCATGCACCTTAAGTGGAACGAAGACAGTTCCTCCTGTACAGCATCTATGCTCCAAACGAATCAACGCAAAGAACATCCTTTGTAGCGAGCTTGAGCAGCGTCATTCCGCCTCTAGTTCCGTGTATACTAGCTGGGGATTGGAATGCCACCCTCGACCCAGCGACACACCGCATATCACGGTCCACCCACGCGTATAACCCACAGGAGGCCCTGCCCATCCGAAAACTGATGATTGACCAGGGGTTGGTCGACCCTTTCAGGACCATGCACCATACAGAGAGAGATTTCAACTTAATCAAGAAAAACCATGCTCATCACACAGCTTTCTCACGAATAGACTACTTCCTAGTGTCAGGCATATTGATGGGGGCGGTGAAAGAAGCGGTGATCTTTCCCCTTGCTCCCTACCCATGTCTTGATCACAAGCCAGTCGGGCTCACTATCCATTTTGAGCAAAAAGTAAGAAAAGGAGCAGGTTTTCATAAATTGAACAACTCCCTCTTACTCAGTCAAACTTTCCAAGCAGGAATACAAGAATTTTGGAGTGCAAGGAGCATGAGCCGCGTGCCTGACCAGGATCGATGGGAATGGTTGTAGAGAGTTACGCCTTACTCGTGAAGGCAGCGGCTGGAATGTCGAGAAAGTTGGCCTCCATAAGGAAGCAAAGGAAACAACGCCTGGGGCAGGCGCTGAAGATTGCAGAATACAATCTGCGAGACAACCCGTCTTCAGCACTATACACGGGCATCTTCGAAAGAGCTCGTGAAGAGTTGGCAATGTGGAAGTGGTAGGAGTTTAAAGGACTGCAAGTAAGAGCCAGAATGTGCGAATACGAACTCAGCGAGTCGATGACGAAACACTTCTTTGCACAAATTAAAGCCAACACAAGAGCAACGACAATAGAGAGACTAAAAACCCTCACTAGCCCGGTGAGGACAGCGGATACCAGTGAAGAAATTATGGAAGTGGCCAAAGAATTCTATCAAGATTTATACCAAACTACGACCCAAGCACCTACCCCAAGCAGTACATTGGAAGCAAGACGAAGGATGCTACAGTACCTGGAACGTGCGATATCGGTTGAACAAGCAGAAGAGCTGGACAAACCCCTATCACGAGAAGAGTTGCTGCAAGCCCTCAATAACATGAACAATGATAAGGCACCAGGCATTGATGGACTAATAAAGGAATTCTGGGAAAAATTCTGGTCGAGCCTAGGAGGCGACCTTCTAAACTTCTACGGGGACAACTTTGAGAAAGGGGGCCTTGGCAATTTACTCAGCAACAGTGTTGTCACACTACTGTATACGAAGGGGGACAAAGAGGACATTAGGAACTATAGACCCATTTCCTTACTCACCCTTCCGTACAAAATTTTGGCCAAGACCTTGGCTGCCATAATTATGAGAATAACTGATAAGTTATCGACCAAACGGGCTTCATCCCTGGACGCTACATTCTGGACAACGTGGTGACCCTAAACGAAGCAGCTAACAAAGTCAGAGAAAGGAGAATAAACACAGCCATTCTCTTTTTTTATTTTGAAAAAGCTTATGACCAGGTCAATTGGTCGTTCATGGACACTAGTATGGAACGCATGGGGGTGGGACCAGTTTTCAGGAAATGGGTTCAGGTCTTATATGGTGATGCTTCCGACTACATACAGATTCCCCCCTTCTATCTTCCTATTTGTGATGGAAGCCATTGCTTCTTTCCTGAGGAAAGACCCGTCTATCCACAGACTCCCGGAGGTCAATGTGGGGACGTCTCACCACCTCAGGTTCCCGACAGTAATATTGTTCGCAGATGACATGACGGTACTGATCAGAGCATCAGACTCATCCTTTAAGCCTTTATCCAGGGCAATGGAAGCATTCAGATTGGCTTCAGAAATGAAGATCAACTAGAAGAAAACCATAGGCTGGTGGCTCACTATGGAGCAAATTCCAAATCTCCAAGGGCCGGAGGCTGACATGTCCTGGGACACACCAGAATCCCCCACTCGTTACCTAGGTATTCTCATGACACGGGAGGGCATGGCGCCCCAGATGGCCCAGAACATGCTAGCGAAGCAGCTGAACAAGTTGGGGAGGTGGGGGAATACATTTACTTCGCTGCTCAGCCGGGTGTTGGTCCTCAACACCTCAATTTTCTCCATGATGTGGTACATTGCGGCGGTATGGACAATCCCGGACAGCTCAATAAAGGAACTAAACCGGGTAGCAAGAAACTACCTTTAGAGGCAACCCCAACAAGGGAAGCTGTATTCCAAAGATAGCTTGGCAGTACATTACAAGAAAACCAATACAAGGGGGGTTGGGGATCATCGACCCTAGGTACGAAACAAAAGCCCTCCAAGTAAAATGGATAGTTCGGCTGCTGACGAAACCAGAAACGACATGGAACAAGCTTGCCCTAGACAGCATAAGAGCTCTAGCTCCGGTGTCATCGCCAAGTAACATGCCTGGTCTATTCTGGGTAATGAACAAGGAATGGTGATTGAAAAAGGTGAGAAGAAGAACCGGGAGGGAAATAGAGCCAAACGTCGTATTGGGCCGCTCTCATCCGGATCTGGAGGGAAATAATGCCAAAAAAGACCAACAGACCCAAATCAAGGGATGATGTGTTGAGGCACCCGTTATTTGGCAACGAATGGTTGAGGAGCGAAAGTGATGAACCCTTGTTCTTAAACCACAAATGGCTATCCTGGGTAAAAAATGGGGTCTGGACAATTGGACACCTGTGGAACGATGAAAAGAAAGAATGGGTATCTGAGCAGGAGCTAAGCACACGCCTAAAGGGCTGCCACAAAAGAGGTCCTAACCTGCACTACATTACTAATCTTGTCCCTCAAGAATGGAGAGATGTGCTGAAGCAGGGGGGGGATTGGAGAAGTGGTGAGTGGGGGGTCAAAATACAAGAGAACCATCCCTCTAGGGCCTTCCAATTCTCACATTTACAGCAAGGATCTGATACTCAAGCGGTATTCACTTCCTTTCCGATCACACACTCCACGAAGGGYATGYCGTCGATTATGAACATCAACGTGGAAACCACAGTCATGGAATACTTTTTGCTCAGGAAGATAAGAGTGCTGGGCACATGGCCGAAGTTCATCTTCAGGTTCGATACGGCAATCCAGAACTTGGAATTTGACCCKGRGGAGTGGGCGTGGAAAYCAGATAAGAAGACAAACGTAAAGAGACTCACCCCCATACAGGACTACACGGTCAAACTAGGGTACAAACTCCTGTTAAAAACAAAAGACCCAGAGCCGGTGATCAAGGCCAGATGGCAGAAGTTACCAGGACAAGAAACGGATAAAATCACGAAGATCCCGTGGAAAGTATATAAAATGATCAGACCAGTCAAAATCAGAAGCTTTCAATGGCTGATAGTTTACGCAGCACTACCAGTCAATCAATGGCTTCATGTTAGGTGAAAGGGCTTCGTCCCTGACAATTCTGATCAATGCAAGGTGTGTACGGAGAATGCATTAGAGGATATAGTACACTGGCTAATCTACTGTAGGGAGGCGACAGACTACTGGGCGAGAGCCTCGACTCTCTGGGATTCCCTTTCTCTACCCCTTTCCCTGAACACCCCATCCAACTTCTCCTTCTAATTAACATCCCCGAACAGCCCCGGAAAGCGGAAAGGATTTGGTATGGACTCGTCAGAAAGGTGACCCTATGGGTCATATGGAAGGAAAGATGCAGCAGAACGATTGAACGTTTCTCCAGCGCACGTGAGATGGTCTGGACGGAGACGAAAGTAATGATACAGGCAGAGATCCTGAGCAAATGGCGGAAGATTAAATTATCTTCGTCCGAGGATGAAGAGCGGCAAAGGAAGGCTAGACGAAGATTCAGCAGGACATGGTTGATAGATGGAAAAGTGGCCGAGTTGCGCGACCATCGCATCTATTGGAAGGAATGGCACTCAGGAAGAAACGCTGGAAAACAGAGCGCGGCACACGGGCAAAGCTCCCCCGGATTAGAACTCTAAAGAGAAAGCTTCGGACTCGGACCACTACACTTGGGGAGCTGCAGTCGGGGTCAGGAAATACGCAAACGGAAGGCATGAGCGGGGGAGGAGAGTTTTTAAAAGGACACTCCCAAGCGAGGAACAGGGTTTAGGATTTAGGGTTTAGTTAGACCTCAAGAGAAGGGAGAAGGCTTAGGGGTTTACGGGATACGGCGACTTATGGGCAGAACAGAGGAGGGGGAGAGCGCAGGCATACAAAAACAACGAGCGAACTCTTCGAGGGGAAAAAAAAAGAAAAGGAAGACGGTGACCCACGGGCAGGGTTGATGAGAGGGAAAGCACAGGCGAGTAGAAACAATGGGTGAACTCTTTCTAGGCGACAAAGGTTTATTTGGCAGAGCTGGTTCTTCAGGTCTGAGAGGAAAGAGTGAGTCATGGCAAGCTGACAGTCAATCCTCCACCTATCGGGGAGTAATCAATGCTGCTCAGGGATCCTCCGGCCATACGGGAGGAAGCGTGAGTTTTTCTGATGTAATGTAATACTTTTTCTGACTTGCCGGTGGAATAGGAACCGGACTGACACTCCACAGAATAGAAGGAGCCAAGACCATAAGGCCCTATTTAGAAAAAAAAAAAATAATAAAATAAAATAAAAAATAAATAAAAATTTGCATGGGTACTTTTGGAATTTGCGAAACTCCTAGTAGCACTTGTGGAATTTTCTCCCTCCGTGGTTAGAAAAGCCACTAGTTTAGAGTCCGCACGGTAGAACGAGTTGCCTTGATCTGTTCTCACTCTCCCTGCAGTGCGATCGTTTGAATCCTTTGCCTCTCTCTCTCTCTCTCTCTCTCTCTCTCTCTCTCTCTCTCTCTCTCTCTCTCTCTCTCTCTCTCTCTCTCTCTCTCT